TGTGGCTTCATTTATTAGAGCACATCTTTGAATACCCCTAGTTGGCTAGCTAAATGTCTAGATTGTTTGCAACATCACCAGTCACTTTGCTGATTGATTGAAATCATACTCACTATACTATTCAGCAAAGTGGCTGGTGATTAATTTAAACTAGCAAAGGATGGGTGGGGGGAGTCGTGATCTGCACATGCGTCAGATGGCCATAGCGCGTCATTGTTTATAAACAAGCGTCTACCTATGATGAGCCTTTGCGGTTTTAGCGCGTGTTATCATTGCTTGGGACTCAATTCCTGTGCATGCGCAGGTGACGACCCTCTCGCTTTTAAATAACTGGATATTCAGAGATTGCCAAATGTACATTATACAATCTTTGCACTATGACCATCAATCAGTCATGGAATTGGTCAGTATACCCGTATTAACATACTTGACTCAGGATTCTTAGATTTAGCGTTTTTAATTCAAATGTAATTGTTTTATTTCTCGTGTTAGCTAACATGTTATTTAATCATGAGATTCCAAATTTTACAGAACCTGTTGCAATATTTGTCAAGTGTTAGTTTTCAAAATACTGTTTTATTCTTTCCCATCAGTGATAAAGTGTGTGGTTGTCTAATTTTCCCCATAATTTTTGAGAGGGAAAAATGTCCAATGCTAGACACAGGAAGTAAACTTGATGATGTATCATTTCTTTTCTTGGTGTACCTTGTACACATCGTCATTCATAAAGGGTTTTATCTTGTATATTGACATGTTCATTTTGTTTAAATGAAAATTGAACTTATTGTTTGTAAAACCACACTACGCATATTCTAATAAACCAATATGTATATCAGATTCAGACTCTACATATCATGATAGTTGTATCATCAGTTTGCCTCCCAAGAATACAGTATACTGGTGTTTTTATAGTAATCCACACAAAGACAAAGTTTCTAAATGACTTGATTGTATTTAATCAAATTATACATTTTTCACATTTGATTTGATACCCACTGGTAAGTCAATGATCTGATGAACTAGTGTACAACTGAATTAACACTGCCATGATCTTCACTTTGCTCTTGAATATTTAAATACCAGTGTCTCTATCACAGAATTAACGAGTTCACCATTCTAGAGTCCTCCACATATTCTATCCAACTCAGCTGGATTATTTCCACTCAAAAATTTCAGCTCTTTCCTACCACTTTCCATTTTAGCTGCAAGTAAATGTAGTATTTTGGTGATAATGTGACAACTACAGACGAAAATATTGTTTGATCACATTGACAGAAAGCATGTACCTGCTGAATGTTGCAGCCATAGCCTATCGATATAATAATCTAAACAACTTTCAGCTTCTTTATCACTGTACTTGTCAACATGAATAGGCAGAAATGGGTCCATCCACTCGAAACCCTGCAAAAGTAAATGTAATTTAATGTTGATACAATATCAAGATCGTGTATCATGGCATTATTAATGAGGCCCTCTAGTTTGATACATGCTTGACGCAACACACCCACCTCTCATTTATATGTAGTTTACTTTGCCAAAGTATGCACATCAAGACAGTACGCCGTATTGTCTTCGTGCATACTTTGAGGTATCCTCATAAGGATACATCATGAGAATGCCGAAATCGAATTAGAGAACTTTGTGTGAAATCCGGTCAAACCCATGTTTGTTTTTATTTATGACACAAACACAGATAGGTACACATGAAAAAATAAAGTTTATTACTTTGGCAAAACAGGGAGGTACACAACGAAATCCATTGGCTTACAAGAAATATACCAGGATGGACATGTCATGAGCCCCCCCATCATGTAAACGCAAGAACTCTGAAATAATACACAACTCAAAAATCTGTGTTAGTAATGAAGCTTCAGCTGCTGGGACTGTAGTGTAATGAGAGATTGCAGCGTGACTGCAATTTGAGGTATAGGCAGCGAAGGCTGC